CATGTGAAGGATTTTTCTGCAACGTCAAGACGCGCGATCGAGTTGCGTGACAGAGTTGTTTCGCAAATGCTATTACACCATACTTGGCCGCACCGTGTTAAAGAAAAAAACGAAAAGAAGGTGAAAAAAAGAAGAGGAAGAGAGAGACACGAGGCTGTTGAACGTAGGTATAATACTTAGGTTGAAACGATTGATATTCGTGCAGTGAGCTGGCCCATAATTCATACGATAATTTAACAGGTGGCTGCAACGTCGCGTATGACGTCCTGGCGGCCATTTTATGCAGACGACGGGATGGCTCACGCTACTGGAACGTCCCTCATCAATATCCATAAGTTAAAGGACATCCGTCTTTGCGTACACACGCGGAATAATTGACAAGGATACGCGATAACCGCGTCGACGGGCAACGTGCGCTAGGTAATAATGCACGGGAACGAGGTGACGCCGTTTCCTCTCCACGATGGAATGATAAGACGCAACGAAGGCTGCAGGATTTGTTTATTAATAGAGTGGACTTCGTGTAAAAGGTGTGCAGGAGAAATTGTAAGAATTTAAAAATATGTGGAAAGGTTCTGAGGGAATTCATCGACGTTGAAGTGGATTAGAAAGAAATTAGAGTGTATTCTTGTTAATTGAAGCTGGAGAAGAATGGAAAAGGTGGAACAGGAATTGAAAGAATTGCAAGAGACGAAAGTTGAAAAGTTTCTGAGGGAATTCATCGATGTTGAAGTGGATTAGAGGGAAATTTGAGAATTTTAGTTATTTGGAGCTGGAGAATAATGGAAGAAGTGGAAGAAGAATTGAAAGAATTGCAAGAGATGAAGGTTAAAAAGTTTCTGAGGGAATTCATCGATGTTGAAGTAGATTAGAGGGAAATTTGAGAATTTTAGTTATTTGGAGCTGGAGAATAATGGAAGAAATGGAAGAAGTGGAAGAAGAATTGAAAGAATTGCAAGAGACGAAGGTTAAAAAGTTTCTGAGGGAATTCATCGATGTTGAAGTGGATTAGAGGGAAATTTGAGAATTTTAGTTATTTGGAGCTGAAGAATAATGGAAGAAATGAAAGAAGTGGAAGAAGAATTGAAAGAATTGCAAGAGACGAAGGTTAAAAAGTTTCTGAGGGAATTCATCGATGTTGAAGTGGATTAGAGGGAAATTTGAGAATTTTAATTATTTGGAGCTGGAGAATAATGGAAGAAATGGAAGAAGTGGAAGAAGAATTGAAAGAATTGCAAGAGATGAAGGTTGAAAAGTTTCTGAGGGAATTCATCGATGTTGAAGTGGATTAGAGGGAAATTTGAGAATTTTAGTTATTTGAAGCTGGAGAATAATGGAAGAAGTGGAAGAAGAATTGAAAGAATTGCAAGAGATGAAGGTTGAAAAGTTTCTGAGGGAATTCATCAACAACGAGGTAGATTAGAGGAACATTAAAGAGGATTGTAGTTAATCGAAACCAGAGAAGAATTGTAAGAATTGCAAGAGACGAAAGTTGAAAAGGTCTTAAGGAAATTCGTCAATTTGTGCGGAATCAAGCGTATCAGAGTTATTAGAAGTAAATCTTGGAGATTTCAAGCTGATCAGAGTGGCACCAATCAGAAATTAATCGAACCTGAACCACACAATTTAGGACTTAATTGGAACGAAATGAAGTACTTACATTAGAGTTAATTAACGATGAATCATTCGAAGATGAATCAATTCGAATTAATTTGAGCTGATCAGAGTGGAATGAAGCGTGTTGAAGCGGATCAAACCAGGAGCAAATGAATTGGAACCGTGCGATTTCAAGCAATTCCGACCGGAACCATGAATTATCAAAGCTGACTGAAGTGGGTTCGAGCGATTTTAAACTAATTTCAGAGGAACCGTGCGAATTGGAAATGATCTGAAAAGGGATCGAGCGAGTTCAAGGTGATCGAATTGTTGCCACACCAGTTCAAGCTGCTTAAAACGGTAGTTATTTATCTCTCACTCGAGAAAAAAAAGTTTAAAATTCCACTCTTGGAGCACTCTCTTCTAGTTACATCATTCTTACATCACGAACGCAATCCATAACCTTCACCTGCAAATTTTTTACTTGCACGTTAACCTTGAGCAAAAAGGATGAACACAACGAGGAAATAACGAACCGAACTTTTTGTGCAAATTTAATATTTTTAAAGAGAGAATAACTAGAACGTAAGAATTTTTCGTTTTTGCAATTTTGCCGTTAACTGGAATTTCTATATACAGTGTAGATGTTCAATTTATCGAAGAAATTTCGTTTTAATTCTCGATGATTGCATTTCACTCGGTGATAAAAGTGACATATGTGGTTTTGATAGTTACTCAAGAAAAGTGTGTATTCTTTTGTTTCAATCGCGGGTTTCTTTCAATTTAAATTCATGACTGGCGTCTTTGTAAAATTCCTAGCGTGTCGACATTGTGCTTCTTCTGACAACCATTAATGTCGTCTTTATCAGAGACAAAGGAGCATTAGTATTCATTTGTACAAAATGTTCTAACACTCTTAACAGTAATAGTCATTCACTGTGAACATATTAGTTACAGAACGAGGAACGTTTCATTTAGAAAATGATAATTAACCTTCAAAAATGTACGTAATGTTGTTTAAAATTTACAATCAAAATTTGATTTCATTTTAATGTAACATCTTTTGTTTCGAAAGTATTTCGTCTAGTTAATGAAAAATTAATTTTCAAAAGTATACGTAATTTTGTTTAGAAATTACAATGAAAAAGTTTCTTTAATTTCACGGCAACATTGAGAACTTGAATTTTACTCCGAAACATTTCATGTTATTTTAAGTTTTATCTGAATTGAGCTAAAATTAAGGTGCAAAGAGATTGTTTTCGAAATCTGCTTTATTCGAATCACATCTCGAGCCTCTTTCACGGCAAAGGCACAAACTGTACGAGTAACGAGGGCCATTACAAACGATACAAAGAGACGAGTCGCGGATCTAAATTGGTTTCGTCAATCGTCGATCAGTTTGCCCAACGACGCGAACGACGAAAAGAGTTGCAGCAATCAACGAGATGGACAGCCTAGCCGGCCGGTGAAGAAACGAATCTAAAGGCGGATGCAAATTGAAGACCGTTTCTGTGTCGCAACAATTGACGCTTCTTAAAAGGACAATTTCTCGCTGCGATTCGTATTCAATCGGCGAATTAGCGAACTAACAATGTATGCACCTTGATAAGAAGCAATTTGTGAACATTCGAGAGATGCAACTAACGTTTCGAGGCATGAAAATTCAAAATTTTCATTTTCATGAATTTGAAAATTTGAGTTTGAAAAGAGTTGAATTTGAAAATTTGAATTTGAAAAGAGTTGAATTTGTGAAGTTTTAATTTAAATATTTTAATATTTTAACGAAAGAAAATTCATTTTCTTAAATTATTGGAAATGAAAACAAGCCTTGAAATTTCTTGACGAAAGCAACGATCCTCTAATTGTTCCTAAGTAAATAAACGAAACCTCTAAGCGGTTGGTAAATAGAAAGAAATTCGACTGGAAGGAGAGTTAATGGAGATCGAAGGCTCGGTCGATCACGAAATTAAAGTCTCGTCGAGATCGAGACAGGAGCTCCGTCTTAATTTGAACCGTGAAACCTGCAGTTCTCATTTTCGACGCCGCTTGTTATTACGCAATTTTGCAATGAATCCACGGCTGTAGGATATTGTGTAACTTAACAACAGTGAATCTGTTCGACACTCTTACTCTCCAGGACTATTTGTCCTTTTCTCACTCATATTTATTTTTCTCTTATTGAATGAAAAATTCAACAATTATTAGTAGATTATAAATTTCAACCTACGGAATTCTCCATTTTGAGAATTATAATATCTATTTGAATCGATAATAAATCGAAGATAATTGCGCGCGCATCAAGGCGGGATAAAACGAGTTTGCGTGCATGTGTGTGTAATGACGTAAAATTATATCACAGATGACATTTTTATACGAATAATTACTGTTTTATTAATTGATTTTTGGCTCACCGCATCGCTGTCTTGAAACTCCTCAGACAGGTTCCGCGGTCAAAAATGTCCAAAAAAAATTCACTTGCTCCTGCTTCGTCTTCTTTCACACACACACGCACTTTTCTCCTTGGCAGCTGTTTACAAGTGACGTCTCGCGTTTCGTGAACCTACGTAAAAGGAAAATATTAAGGCTGACCTTAACACGATGACTATAGAGATCGTCCCTTTCAAAATATCCCTCCCTCCCATATATTCCATCATTTTCCAACAATTTCGATATATTAACGATCTATTAACCATCATATACATTAACTGAATGAACGTGTCTACGTATGTAAATATCAGGCTTAACTAACTTGAACGTCAACTCACTTCTAATACTCTACATTGTACATTGATAAACTAGGTTATATACCATAAGAAATAACTTCGTATACAGCTTGTATAAAGGACTTTTTTAGATGCCATGAAATATTAATATTTGGCAGGATAATCTTACCTTAGATTCGTGTAAATTTCCTTGAGTCGTCAAACTGGCGGGTTTGACGTTTCTTTGTGACGTCACAAACGTTGGTCGATAAAAATTACCATTTACCAAGAAACGCACCGACGAACCGTATGTTGCGTTACTGACTGTCGATGCTCACGACGCTTGAGCACAGGCTTGAGTTTCTCGTTTTAGCGCAGATGTCACTGTTCAACGATAAACTGCCAAGCAAAAGAGAGTAGAGGAAATTCTCATTACGAATTTTACTATGAGAAGGCGATAAGTGCAGAACGCGCTGTAAATATTTTAATCAGGCGATATTTTCAGACTCTTCTGCGACGAACGATTCGAGTCCTATATTTATACTGAAACATTCTAACAAACAACGCGTTCTGTATTAAATTTTATGTAGCGTTAACAGATGTACCGGATGTGACAGACAGCGTAACAACCCTTAAGGTTAAGTGACACTACGCTTTTTTATATCAGCACTTTTTTTTTTAATTGTTAAATTATTCGGTACAATGTCAGGGTCGAACTCTATCAGCGTAGCTGTAATATGTTCTAGTAATATGAATAGAAGCATGGAAGCACATGCTTTCTTGAGGTAATTGAACCCACCAGCAATCAGATTGTAAACTGCCTGGTTATTCTAGACGATAATCTTGAATAAAATTTATATTCTTGTTTTTCAGTAAAAAGGGCTTCAATGTAAAATCCTTTGGAACTGGAGATAAGGTTAAGCTTCCTGGAAATGCCCCTGATCGTCCTAATGTATATGACTTTGGAACTTCGTATGAAGAAATCTACAATGATCTTTTTTCGAAAGACAAGCAATAGTATCCTACTTATTAAAAAAATAAATAAATGTTTTTCTTTTCTTTTTGCAGAACAGAGCCATAGAAGTCTATTAACTTTGCGACAAGATAAATATTTCTTATTAATTGTTTCATTACATTATTACCTTTTTAATGATTACAATAAAGATTATAAAATAATTGAAACTCGAATTCCTTAACCGTAACACTAGCTATACTCAAAATGGTTTATTGCACATGTTAGACAGAAACCGTAGAATAAAACCTAAGCCAGAACGGTTTCAATTATCCAAGGACAAATTTGATATTTTAATCACTTGTGAAGAACGTGTGTATGATCAAGTAATTGAATGCATGGAATATAAAACTCAAAGGGATAATCAGCCTGTGCATTTGATTAATATTGACATTCAGGATAATCATGAAGAAGCCACGGTTGGATCGTTCCTCATTTGTGAATTAGTCACTGTGGTAATTTCTACATTCATTTAAGATTATACTTTCTTGTATACTGCATTTATAACTGTCCTGTTAAACGAAATATATATTGTTACAGCTGGCCAATAGCAAGGATTTAGACAATGATATAGATGAATTACTTCACGAATTTGAATCAAAGTTTGCAAGAACTATCTTGCACACAGTGCTTTTCTATTGAAGACTGTAATGTATCAAGAACCTGGTGTTCATCAACGACTTAACTTATAAAGCAGACTAAATTATATACCATAAATATACCACCACATTCTCTGAGTCAGATTATGTGGAACGAATTCCGCTAACAACAAAAAGGAATTCGGTCCGTGCTTCCTGTTTAATGAATTACTGCTTTCTACGGGATATGTTTCAGAGATCTGCCGTTACGTTCACACTACATATGTAATTCATGGCAAGACACAAGCAAGATCGTTGTTCTCGTTGAGTGACTCAGAAACGTTAGTATCAGAGGAGTTAGGAATGATTAAACAAAACAAAGGATATAAATTATGAAAATTTTAATTTTATAATATATACGCATATAAGTACAACAGTGAACTATTCTTATATGTGTATGTATTTTATTGTTAGAATGTATTTATGGTACGTAGAATCGATATGAGTCTCTGGTGCGTTTATAAACTCAGAGATTTGTATATTACAAAATACGATCCGCTGTTATATAGTGAAAAGGCCTTCAATTCATACGATACAGTAATACATATTCGTGAAATTAATGTTGATCAAGATGGGCGTATAATCTTCTTGTTTTCTCGCGTTTGTTTTTATTTGAATGTTTATTGATTTTTTTCCACGGTTTCTCTTCAAGCAACAAACTCTGTGTGGAACCATTCACCGATCCTGCAATGCTGAAAGGCAAAAATTACAATAATTATAAAACATCATCGAGACGAAATTCGTATACACGCTCCATTACTTATTATTATATACGAACGATTACTGTCAATAATTATACAAGAATGACTTTATGAAACAATAAATATACAATAATGTTAACATACTTAGAACCAGAACGGGACAAACCGTGCATTTTCCCAATCACTCCCTTTACATGTACATTTGGAGAATTGTTTTGAAAAAATACTTTGTCCACGTCCTCGGACGTGACTTTACTTCCTCTATTGGCGCGAATAGTTCTGGCTGGTATATGTTTATTTATAGAAACAATTCTTCTCCGCAAAGGGAATATATGAAACTTCTCTTGTTCTAATGTTGGTGGTGCAACACAATATAACAATCTACCATTTACGTAATCTTTTAAAAGGTATCGAGCTGACCGTGCATTATCTGGTTGCCCATTCTGTGTCATGAAACCTCTATTATCTATAACAGAGCAAAATTAAAAATCGTATAAATTATTGCGTGCTTTTCTAAAGAATATATGAACACGAATACATACATCCATAAGCATTTAAAATTTCTTCCGCTGTTGGAGGACGATCGGGATCTTCTCCTTCTGGTGGTAGAGGTATCATAATACCATAAAGATCTTCTATAACATGTCTTGGTATTAAACTACCCAGTAACGTAACTGGAGGTACATGGTCCCTCATTTGATCAATTGGTAATATTCCACTTAAAATCATTTCAGCTTTTGTACTAACAAAACTAGGCATTACTAAGCCAGGACAATCGCATAAAAGTAGATCCTTATCCAAGAACAATGTTTGAAAGTGCTTTGTTTTGCCTGGTGTTGCAGATACTGATACTTTCTTGTTCATTAATAGAGCATTAATTGTGGAACTTTTTCCTACATTTGGATATCCTACTAATCCAATAGTTGTAACCCCTTTTGTGTATGTTTCACCTTTGTAAACTGTTTTAAAAAATGATACTAATTGATCTCTGGATAATAATTCTGATGAATTTTCCACCTTTGTATCATCCTCCTTTGTAATTTGTTCATCTATTTCCTCTATTGGAGGTTTTAATTCTTCTAAGCTGTATTCATTATCTTTAGAATTTTTTTCTTCTTCATTTTCTATTTTAGAACTTTTATTTACATATTCCATGTTGGTGTTAAAATTACTCCCATCATCTGCACTTTCATATTCACTTTCTGAAAAATATTCTGAACTATGCAATGACTGATCACTGTCATCATTTTTGCTATTTTCATCATTATCCTCTTCTTCGCTATCTTCTTCACCTTCAGAATTTTCTTCCTCTATAGAGTCTTCAATCTTTTGCTTTTCAGCTGCTAATGTAGCAGAAAAGAATGCAACTCTCAAATTAATATCTGTAAAATACTTTGCCCATGTTTGTCTCTGTTCTTCTGTTAAGAAATCTGCTTTATTAATCAGAATCATGTTCATCTTTTTGGGATCTATTTCTTTAACATATGCCTCCAAATCCTCACAACGAAAGATCAATGGATTCCTTGCATCTACTATTTGTACAATAACATCACTGCGTTCCACTACTCTCCATAGTTGTCTCCAAAACTCTAAATTCCTTTCATAAGGAGTCAACAGTAATCCTTCCACTTCTTGCAACACAGAAAGCGAACGCCTCCACTCTAAAAATTTTTCTCTTTCATTGCTTTGCAATACGTCAGCTGTAGTGGAACTGTCCCATTTTGGCCTTCTTGGTATTTTTAAAAGTGCTTTATTTTTTCTTTGTGTCTCCAGCATTTTTTCCTTTTCATCTTTCGAAAGTAATCCAATACCGCTATTTGGATTAACGAATTTGATATTTAATTTTTCAGCGTAAAACTCTGTTCCCGCTAACTCCGCAGTGGAAAGAAACTCTTGAAAAGAACTTTCTTCCGTAACGGATTGAAGATTAAGACGTCCCCAATCGTAACCATCGTTCAAATTAGCGGAATGTAGCTAATTAAAGATACAATTTGAAAATATTAAAGATTGTTCACCGCATGAATCTTTGCACGTGGATTGCAATGAAAAGGTTATAAATACAGCTATTACCTTACCATAGACGAATCTGCATTTTTTCTATTTTTTGAAGGACCGAAACGATTCCTGATTAAAGCTTTTCCTAAATTGCCGCTTCCTCTTTTTCCATTTTTGCCCATTGTATTAATTTTTATTCTACGTCAACGGAGCATAACACGAGGTTAATCAGTACCAAACACAGCCAACAAACATCGGACGTAACGTGATTGGTATGAACGAAATGTCAAAAAAAAAAAGATATGATATATTTGCAGTAGATAACACATCGTGCTTCAAAAAAAGAAATTTTCAAATATAATCGATATACGGTGAAATATTCGACATAGAATTAAAATATATATATATATATTTATGCATTATACATTTGACCTATATATATATATATGTACGTATATATAGTTAAGATATACCTGCGCCTATATCTATAAATTAAATCTGGGACAGAGTTTTCATCGAATAATTCTGCGTCTTACTTCATTTTTATTAATAATTGATAGGTAAACTGCTCTGGTTCACAGTTTCTCGACGACCAGCAACAATTACGAAACGTTCAACATGCTCCACATGCTTCTCTACCCTATCTTCCCGCGCGCTCAATCAATTCTCGAATTCGGAACAAGAAAAAAATTCTTTCGCAAGGCAGCTTGTGAACAGTTGTTTTTTTAATTTTTTTTCTGTTTTTTTTTTTTTTAATCGGAATAATATCGGTGTGTCATTGGTTATATCTTATATATATATTACAATTTCTGCGGCTCTATACGATTCCATCACACTCGTACAATCTGCGCGCAAGTATTACAAGATGAGAAGAGGTCGCGCCTGCATCCGACACAATTTCATCTCTCTTGCGTTACTATTTAGAAATCTAGCCATCTATTAATGGATAATCAGTCGCTTTCCCTGGAAAAGGACACTGTGTTCTCCTCAAATAAAGTTCCTTCGAGAAAAAAAAGAACGAAAATATACTTTCATCCAAGCACGCTTGCATTAACGCCCACTTCCAGTTTTCCTTTTTCTTTTTTTGTTCAACGGAGAGTATAAAATGGCTCGCAACGTGTCTGATATGGGTCGTTATTTTACACTGCAATGCTTTTACAGAGTACCACCGTTCTGACGCGTAGAATTCCTTTATCGGCGACTGTACAACAACCTGCCACGTGCAGGACGAACGGCAGTCTGTCAACGTACACACAACATATAGACACTTTCGTTCCCGTGATAATTATCCTTCAATAATTATCTCTTCCACGGATGCCCCGTGGTTGATCACCGTCGCGACCTCTACCACGATTACTATACCCGCTTCTTCCCATGTTATTGTCGTTGGGACCCCGATTCATGCCACGATTAGGTCCAAGCTTATTTCCGAAATTACCGAAATTAGAGTTAAAACTATTTGGCGGATTTTGACCGGGGTTTTGACCCCTGAAACCAGGCCCAAAGCCCGGCCTGTCGAAATTTGGCGGACCAGAATTCGGTCCTCGGAAATTCGGCAAACCTTGAAAACTATTACCGAATGGTCCTTGATTTGGTCCGAATGGGGGCAATGGACTCGGTCGAAAGTGTTGGTTCGGTCCGAAGTTGCCGTTTGGTGGTCTGAAGTTCGGTCCAAAGTTACCAGGTGGCGGTCCATTCGGACCAAAACCAGGGTGCATGTTAGGATGATGCATCATGTGCATAGGACCATCAATTCCTTGCATACCAGGGTGCAACGGTTTATTTTGCATAGGATGCTGGGACATGTTCGGATGTGGCACTAAACTGGGGATCGGAGGAGGCATATTGGGATTAATATTCTGCATATTATGATGACTCGACATGTGGGATATGCTGTTGCTTAAATGGGCCATGCTGTTGCTCATGCCAGACCCTATACCCATAGGCATATCACGCTTATCGAAATTGCCTGAAAAACCGCCATCCCCTTTCCGGGGACCATCGTTTATCGATTTTTCGTCATCCCATCGCGAACCACCGTCTCGATCTCTGTCGTCGTAGATGTCGCTGTCTAAAGACTTCTTTAGGGAGAATACATGGGAACTCCTGAAGTCTTTATCGGCGTAGTTACCCCTCAAATCGTAGTCTGAACGTGAGCTAGGCCTTCCAGGACCACTGGATATATTAAACCGCAAGTCCTCGTCACGATTTACATTCCTCGTGCCCTCACCGTGAGACAGCTTCCTAAGATCCTCGTCTTGACCACTATGGAACGAGTTGCTCTCGCTAGAGTGCTGATTCGACTTCGTTCCGATGTACCTTAGATCAGTATCGCTAGACTGCGAGTCTTCTGTCATCACTCCACCAAATACCGGTTGGTGGATCTTCGATGTTCGATCGCTTGCACCACCATCGCTCCAGCCGATTAACTGATCGAATTTCCGCTTACCACCTCGATTCAACGCCTTGAGCAACTCGGGATTCTGCGCGAACTTCGAACTGGGTAAAGGTGGAGGAAGTTCGATATCGGGAACTTTGGAATAGTCTATTTCACCGTCGTCTTGTAAAAATTCTTCAGAATCGTCCATGTTGTCTGGTGGACCTACAACGTCGCGCAACTCCTCTATCTCTCCGGAGAACACTAATTTATTTATGGCATCATTTCCTTTACTGATTGCTTCTGCTAACTTAGAACCGGCTGTAACATTATCATAAATAATTGTAAAAGCTCGTATAAGATTGTTCGTTTGTATATTAGAGGATACTTACGTTCGACAGGAATCATTTTCCCGTACAATATAATACCGTTAGGTGTTACTTCATTCAGAGGCACTGCTCCTGGCGTGGTTTCGATCAACTGGTTCACAAATGCATTTAAAGCTTCTACTTGCTCCATATCTTCAGCCTCCATCTCGTTCCATTGAGCTTGGAAGTTCCTTGGAATTGGTTTGCTGTATGGAACCTTTTTGTTGGCAAATTTCTTTCCTTCGTCTACAGCATGGTCCAAATCCAGGCCTGGAATACCGCCGCTTTTGTCTTCTGGTTCGCCATCCGCGTTGATTCTGTCTTCTGGTCCCATACCAGGTATCACAGCTGCTTCATCGGCTGTAAAAAAATCATAAAAGTAATAAACAGTTCTATTTTCCTAATTCTATTATTCATACCAATTTCGTGGTCGTCAACACCAGCCGATCCTGCAGGTAGAGTGTTCAGATTATATTTGTCTCTCATCAAATCACCGGGCCTGTTTCGTGTCCAAAACTTCGAAGTATGATCGTTACTACCAGAACACAGAATGTGTCCTAACGGATGCCAAGCTAATGTCCAGACGATACTGTCGTGAGCTTGTTCTATCGCACCCACTTCCTTGTCGGCTCTAAAAATCAATCATGATTTAACTAAAAATTAATATTAAAAAATGAAAAAAGATTGTCGAAAGACGTACCCAACGTGCCAGAACAAAATAGCTCCATCGCTACCACCACTACAAAATAGACCCTCGTGGCTCGGATGCCACGCAACGCTAGAAGCCTCCTTTTTGTGACCACGAAATGTTTGAACCTCTTGACTTAAATTTCGAAGATCAAACAACTTGAGCAAGTGGTCCCTCGATGCAGTCACTAACCAATTTCCGTTCTCATTCCATTTAACATCCATGACTGTTGACTTGTGTGCATGAAGAGTCGCGAGAGACTGACCAGTCTTTGGGTCCCACAGCTTGACTGGTTGCTGATTATCTTTGCTTCCAGAGATGACTAGACTTTTTTGTGGATGCCAGTGCACACACTTCACATCAGCTCCATGACCTAAACAACAACCATGTGAATGTCTGTCTCAATGAAGTTCTGTTGTAATGTTGATATATTTAATTTAACATTTAATTACCTATCTATCAAGAATAAAATGAAAATTTATTTTTCTCTAATTTTATATCAATTAATTATTAAGAACACAAATGTGATATGTACCCCTGAGAATTCGTTCTTCGTGACAGCGAAGAAAGTCCCAAATTCTAACAGTTCCATCATCACTGCATGTTGCCAGCTTGTGATCCGTTGGACTGAAACTACCCACCCAAAACACAAAAGTTATATTCAAACAATACACTGCTGTGTACTTATAAAGCAATTCTTTATTTGTAAATGCTCACAATGAGAAATTTTTCAATGAAATAAGCATTATAATGTAATGTGTATATTTTGTATTTATTATTTCATGTAAGCACATGTATAAAATATTAGATATTAATATAGTAATATAACATGATAAAAGATTGATTACACATTGAGCTTTATTAACTTTTATTGAAGTTATATCCTTTTACAAGTGCAATTATATTGAAAATAGAAGGAGAAATAAGACATGAAGTTTATTGAGTCCAATAGAACATTCAAGACTTATGGTACACCTTACGGACATTATTATGATATGACATCAAAACATGATTATTAAAAATTGAAATCAAAGTATATAATAGCTTACATTTATTACTGATTCGTCATTTTGCTTATTGAATAAATACTACACATGCAATAATTATATGTATATAGAACAGGCACAGAATATCATAAAAATTTTATTCTCTTTTTAATGGTACCATTTGATAAGTTATATACTTGTATGTCTACACATGCATCCTTGATGAATCCTAAATGTAATGTATCATGTAGAAGATAATTAAAAACAGCCTATGAACTCATAAAGGATCATAATTTTTAAAAAGTTATTTAAATTATAAAAAATCAAATGCACAACAAGCCATTATTATGTGATTATTAATGATCTTCATGTATGAAGTCCCCGGAGTTTGACTGCAAGCGATATATGCGTGAAAAACATGTATAACAACGCGTAAAAACACATAAATTAGCTTCATTTTCGAATCAACTTCCAAAGCTATTAATGTATTTATTGTATAGTATTCTAAATACGCGCGTAGTAGATTACTATTGTAAATTCACTTCAAGGAATAGACAGACATCAGTAATAAAAGGAAGATCTATGTGTAAATATTGTAAATAAACAAAAAACCATCTTCGACAGTCATATCTGGCACTCAAACAAAATTCATTGCTGATGAAGCAACAAACCGTTTCATTCTCGTGAAATTAGAATCTCTCTTTGATGCCACATGACCACCGAGTGATATACCAAGAGTGATATTTTTTAAAAGTTCAACATTTATTGCACAAAAAAAATGTCCGAAGTGTACATGAATTTTATTTTATATCTCTCTGTTACTCTCTCTCTCTCTCTCATCTGCAAAAGGGCACAAGTGACACAAACCGAAGAAAAAATATTTTATTTTCGGAACAATATGATACTGCAATATTTATTCATTTATTTATTCAACTATATATTTATTTATTTAACTTTATTGAAACTTGGATGATGTAAAGAAGGACACAGGATATTTATTTTTATTATAATTCCATGGGAATCTCGACTAGGTATTGCCGTATATATTTCGTGTTTGTTTATTCTTCATTCTAAAAGTATACATTTTTTGCCCATCAACCTGACCATATAAACTCCATAAACTATGAGCCATAAGGACCTAATTTTATTTTTTAACGATTCATTTAACTCCTTCCTCAGACCTTTCTGTGTAAAATAATAACTTCTTACTAACATAATCTAATGGACCATATAGACTCACTTAGGTCCCCAAGACTCTATGAATACAGATGATAAATTTTATATTGACACATGTACAATATATTTGGCAGAAAAATTTGCACTATCCTCGCGTATCAACTTTGAATGTTATTGTTATCAGTGAAGGTGTAGAATATTTTAAGAAATTTAGAAGTTTTGAGTATCTATTGTATATTTAACTCTATTAAAAAGAACTAACTATTTGTATAATATCACTCAATGTTTGTAGTATTATATCACATCTTTCCTTCTAATATAAACCCTGATAGTTGATATCATAATTAATTATGAAAATTAAATTCAATAAAAAACATTATAAAAAAAGGCGTCAACCTTCACGACGATTTGTAATGATGCGGATAAAAATACCGCATAATATAAGAAAGTAATTTTTATCACAGGAATTTTTTAAAGCCCCAAAACTTGTATGTCTCCCATACACCTAATACCAGGAAATCTTTCAAATACACATTATCAAGAACTCTGGAAATCACCTGTGTACCCATACAAGAATCACTATTGTCAGAACAGAAGTGTTATAAAACCAGAAAAGGAAGAGAATGAGAGTCATGTCCAATATCTTAACTACAGCAAGGATGGACGGATCATCGATAACAGTGGCGCAAGAGACGTAAGGACTAGTGTGGTGGATGGTATACCTGAGTCCTCTAATCGCTTCTTTGTGCGCCTGAAACATCTTGACGTTGTTCATGTTGCTCTGCCAATACTTCACATAGCCTGCATGATCTCCTGTGACCATCCAGCTCTCGTTGTGTGACCATACCATTGTTCTCACTGGACTATCATGTGCCTGCACAGACAGAAATAATTGTTTGATTAATGTACCTGAATCCATTATATATTTTTTATTACAATGAATACAATGTTCTCAATATTTAAGTTTCTAAAGTATTAAAAATGTTATTAGAATTGCAAAATCACAAATTAATAATAAACTTTAAAATAATATTAATAAATAAATTCAACACATTCAACTATTGTTAAATTGTTATTAAAGCACATAAAATACCTGCAGAATAGTTTCAAAATTAAATGTAAGACCATTCCACAGGGTAAATTCTCCACTAGATGCACCGGTAACAAGACGTCTACCCTCTGGTGTCCAAGCCATACAGAAGATGGGACATCGCATTTTATTTGTTGCAGTCTTAACAAATCTTGTGGTAACTGCATTTATTGGGTTATCGACATAACTGGGTGGTGGAAGTAAATCAGGATAATACATCACATCTGGATGAAGGGCACGTCTGTCCCGATAATCCCTCTGCCATACTCGATTCTACACATAAAATATATAACATTAGAATCATTTATCATTAATTCTATAAAGTTCTATGACCCAATCTAAGAATCGTACCTCTAAACTCTTTATAATGGCAGAATTATAGTCCACAGTTTTACGCATAACAGATTTCCTAAGTCTTTTCCCATCAAATTCATCTTGCAATGTATCTTGGCCAGCAGCAACAATCTTAGGTGCATGGTAAGGTCGAAAGGGTTTGAAAAAGCCACGTGCTCCATCCCTATGGTTAGTGTAACGATGCTGGTAACTTCCAGATGTGTTTATGGTAGTTAAATTAGGAGGAGGAGCTGATAAATTTGGAGTAGCAGGCGGTGGCACTGACATATTAGGTAAACTTATAGCTGGTGGAGGATTTGCAAATTGAGTATTTGCAGACATAACGAAATAATTTATAGGACACTATAATAACTTTAAATATACAAAAGAAAATATAATCTAAATGGATAATAAGGGACAAACATATTTGTTGCTTAGTATCCCCTAATGTTGCTATGCTGAATTCATTGCAGTTATTAATTCTGTAAATAAGCATAAAATATATTTTCCATTACTATTTTATTAAATAATTTCAATAATATTTAAATTTGATTAAATTGATATTTGAACAATTGTCGAATTATTTTTATTAAATTCACATATGGCATGCAATACACATTTGGGTTATTTAATAAGTGAAAAACATCTCAAATTCTGACTTGAAAGATGGTAGACTTTATTAAACTAGTTAGAGAGAAATATTATATCAGTTTTAATAAATTAAAAATAACTCCGCGGTTGCTTTAATATAAAATTTTATATCGAAATATAGATCTACAACATTTAAATACAAATAGACAGAAAATGAACTTTCTCAATGTGTGAAAGTATAATATTGATTTTTTAATAGAAATATTCTGTATCGTATTTAGTTTTACATGTTATCATAAATTTGAAGTTTCCTTTAATTGAACTATCATTGTACAATCAAATATTTAGTAGTTGAGAATATGTACAAAACCTGCTACTATCGAAAATGAAAGGCTATCGAAGGTTAGAAGAATTATTCTACGAAAAAGAAAACAAATCTAACAATATTTATTAAAATTGTAAATTTTTATAGTGTAAAATAAAACACGTTTGCAAAAACTAATAAACAACCTGCTCATTAATTGCGAACGAATTTTCTTTGATGCTGTTGCACTGTAAAACCCTTAAAATGTACACAACCACTGAATTCCACCGATTGTATAAAAATGTTTTTGAAATAATTAATGAAATATACAAATTGAAACGACCATTACTCAACAGAAATATCGACAACTTTCGCGTTCTACTTCTAGCATATGAATTTAAACACAACGAGCAAATAGCAAGAGAATTGTGTGTCCGCTACGGACGCCATTACTCTTCTGGGCGATGACATCCGTTTTATTCGTATCTACTTCCGACGGTGGTTTTAGTAAATTACTGTAACGTATATTTTAATAAACTATTATTACGATGAAACATTTAATACATCTAAACGATCGAAAATACTTTAACTTAATGGCCATTTTTTAAATAAAATATAAAAATATTTATACCTT